CCTCTTTGAAACCATAGGACAGTCCATGCTTAATGCTGTGGACAGAGATGCTGTGTCTGGTATGGGAGTGATAGTGCATGTGATGTAAGTAGAAACTGAGTGGGTAAAGATCAGTTCTAAAAAAAATATGTGGGACAGTATCTCTCTGGTTAATTTTCATGGCTAGCCTGGAAAGACAATAGCTGTAATTGGCAGCAAGCAAGGTTAAGCCAGTGAAATTATTTTCCCAATTAATTTGTCCTTCCTTCGGGGGGGTAGTGCTGTTATTATGAATAATCTTGGGAAAACAGTTATGGTTGTAGATATCTTTTTTATCTGTTGGCGGATAAAATTGGGATTTAACTGCTGAGCCAATAGAGATAATTCTTGACTGCAATTGGGACTGGAATTTTGGTTATAAGTGATGATGTTATAGGTTGATGCACCCTCGTGACAGGCTGATTTTACTACTGTTTTTATGGCAAACATTAAGCAGTTGTTTTTGGTGAAATCAGCAAAAAATATCACAAATCATTTAGGAAGCTGCAGGCAGTCATAATGCCTGAAATGAATGTGGCTTGACATTTCACGATGGCTGGAAAGGCATTGCAGGTATAAAGAACTATTTCTGAGACTGTTATAAATCTGAACATTAAATTGCTATTTGGAAGTAGATGATTAACTGTAGTACAATTTTCATCTTGATTCCCTCCCTTTTCTCTTTTTACCAGTGAGAAAGACAAAATAACTACCCGGACACTGAAAGCTCGCTTGTACTAAATTTAATTCCTGCTCAGGAAACAGTGATTTTCTCAAGAAAGGAAATAGTGTACTGTTAATGGAATAAACTTTTTTTTCTAAAACCACAACTTTTTCATTTTTATGTAGAAGCTATATATATTTTGATTTTTTTTTAAATCAAAGATAAAAGGTTGTTTTGAAGAAGATAATTTTCAAACAATTATGTAATAATGTAATCTGGCTGTCATACCAAAATTGATCTGTAAATTATAAACTTTAAAAAAATGGCATCCACCAAAATCGGCAGATCTTTTTTTTTTTTTAATGCAAAATACTGCTGTTGATTTAACCTGAGAAAAGTCCTGCTGAATTCAGTGTGCCCTACAGCATGGACTTGAGTAGGATTGCAATAGAGATATTCAGTCTGAGATCAAATCTAAACTGAGCAAAAGTGATTTAGATCTGACTTGGTCACCTCTTTTATGCCAGCTGGAGACTGCTGAAGAAAACATACCTTTGAGTTTAGATAGTAGTGGCAAGGTAGTCACCGAGGCGCTGCTCATGGATAGTAGCGCATCCTAATTTTGGTCCAAATACTGTACATCTACAACTACAGTTAATGTGCACCCAAAAACGATGATGACAGTCAAGGTAATGTTTGTTGAACTGACCTCAACAAAAGACCTTAATTTCAAAAGTTCATAACTGATTTTTTTTTAATATGCTTGGAACCTGACTTATTTGCTTTCACTTTTCAATACATATTTAAAACTTCAGTTAAAGGTATTTTGTATATGTTTGGGCCTACCTTAAGACAGCTCATATTTAGCTTTCCAAACCCACTCCCTAGTTAAATGGAAAATCTAATATTCCAAGAACACTAGACAATGTATAGCTTTGAAAACCCCAAATGCTGCATTGTAAAATAAGCAGAGATAGGTGGTACCCTTAAACCTTTTAGTCATTTCAATGGGACTTTTTTCTAGACTAAGCTGTTGATTTCAGTTTGTTGTTAAAGTTCTTTTGAAAGTAATAAATAGCTGTAGTTTTCAAATGAGGGAGCAAGTCCTTTTTTCTTAACTTGTTTTATTAAAGCAGGAGGCCAGCATTTAGAGATAAATCTTATTAATGTGAACACAACTGGATCAATGGACCTTATAAATGCATGGATAAGCCCATTTGCAAATAAACTGAACAATTTTGTGGATATATTCTTGGCTTACTTGGGAATATGCAGCTAATCTTCAGTTACTGACTCAGTGATTATTAACTGTCCTTAAAGTTGTGGCCATTGTAGTGTCCCCATAGTCCCATAATTGTGATTTGGGTGTTTGACTCTATATCCCTACTCACAAGATTGCCATTTGTAACCTTCACTGCCAGCATCTGGCATGCAGGTAGATAGAAAACCTAGTAAAAGATTGAAATGATTGTGTGATATTGCACCCAAGAATCACAACTAGCACTCACTCAGTCAAGCCTTTTAAGCTAAACAACTTCTTCATTCTTACAACTATTTTGGGGAGAAAAATAAAACCCTGAGAGCAGTTTTACACAAAAAAAATCATTTTTATTTTGTTTAACCCACCTGAGAGACTTCACACCTTGTTAACATACATGCATTTCAAAACAGTGTCTCATACTTTATAAGCACATTGACTTTAAAATTTTATTTTAAAAAAGGTATGAAAAACCTAAATTATTTTTATTAGTTGGAGATTCAAATTTGTAATTGCCTGCTTGCCATTATGAACCAGCTTTTATGTTTAAATGCCATATGATTATATGTATTGTGTTGAATATATTCATATGGTATTCAAGCATACAATTAGGAAGATACTGATAATGGCTGGAACACAAATGTCTTGTTTCCTCTATCTTTTTAAATAATATATGGTTTCACAATTAATACAATTTTGAAAGCTTGCCTGGGATGGCATTGCACACACTCATACCAGGTTCTCAAAGACATAGATAATGAAGAAGTGCAAACTTTATTTGACCATGTGGCTTACAGCTAGCCATCAATATCTATGTGTGTTTATAAGATAACATTTTCACCCGAGTGCTTTTTAATGATACCCTCCCCAAGCCCTTCCTCTACACATGAACATAACAGACATGATTAAAGATTGTCACCATCTACTTCAGTTTAGCCCTTAAAAATCCACATTCAACATTTTTTTTCCAGTGCAGGAAATCCCAGCTTAACTGCCTGGATGTAACCACCTAACAATATAGACTGTGGGGATACATCAATGATTGCAGTGAAAGTTACTATATACTGAACAAAATTGAGATTTTCTTCCTCAAACATGATAGCCAAAGCTGAAACTTAGCTTATATTCCCCCTTAAGATACCTTAATATTTTTAGATGATGAACAAAAAAGAGTATGAGTTCCATCTCACTCTAGAATAGGCATGTTAACAATGGTGGGAACTTTGCTATAATATATCTGGAGAACCATGGGTTGGGGAAATACATTCCACAAAACAGGAGATGAAGAAGCTAAGACTACTATTAACAACACACATTCTTTGGCTAGACATGATCCAACTGAGAATGTACATGTGTAAGTCGACTTGGGAACAAGACTAACACATATGCCCCCAAATCCTCCAAACCAGTTAAGTCATAAAACTGCTCCAAATATATATTTTAAAAAAGATAAATCACAGATTTACTGAAAATGTACTTCCTTTCTATGTGTTAGCTATAACTTGGGATCATTGCAACTGTAACAAGATGCACGCTGGGAAGAAAAAGAGTGACTTGACATTCCCTTGCATAAATTGGTGAACAAGAAACCTGTTTGAATTCCAAACAAAGTTCTTGATCTAGAAAGATTGCAGTTCTATGCACCAATGGCCATACATTACTGCTAAATCTCCAAATAGTTTAATATTCATCTGCTTCTGATCCAATATGGGCTCTTCTGCAGCAAAACAAAGGATGGGAACAATTTTCAGACTAAACTGATGGATAAATTGTGCCAATATGCATGCCATTTAGAGGAATGAAACTTGGGGCTGAAAAGCAAATAGAGTTTTAAAAGATCTCTTAGACATATTGAATTGGAAATAAAACTGCATTACCAGTGCTATCCTAAGAGTTACAGGGAAAATATGCAGGAGCTATTTTCAGAATTATGTATTTAAGGATACCAGGCAGGGAGGAAAATAGGAACAAGGAAGGAAGAGCAAAAGACTGATCAGGTCCTCGTTTAATCACAGATCTTCTGTCAAAACTAACAATACTCTGAAGGGATGGTATGTGTTCCTTTTCTCACACACCTCTTGTAGCATTACAGACAATGCTTTGATCAGAATTTCTTGTGTAAATCATTCTCATTGTATTGCCAGATTAATATTCATAAGAAGGGGAAAATTCTAATACTGTGGTACGGAAACAAGATTTCCATGTGATTCCATTTTCTGGTGAAAATTTTGGGTGTGAATGGCAAGAAACAGGAATGTTAAAAGTTGTAGAAATTCCCAGTGAGTAAATTTCAAGTGTCCGTATGTAGGTGTAACAAGTTTCCCCAAAAGACATCTCCCAGACGTATAATGCTTACAAATCCCATGTTTAGTGGAGTTGTAAACTAGAGCATCTCAGTGATATTTGGTTTGGGGAAACCTGAAGTAAAAAGGCTCATAACATCCCTCTTGACCTCCCCACTAGGCTTTTTCTGTACCTTTTGAAGATTTCAAATCATTGAACTATTTTTCTATTAAAAAATAATTGAGAGGGAAAAATTCCACAACGGTTAGTAGATCCAAGTATCATACGGATCACCACCCCAGGGCAGAACTCAGAGGCTGAATATTAAATTAATAGAATAGAGAAAGGATAAAATGGGACTAGAGGCAAAAGCCAGTTTACATTTTTACTGATATAGGACTTTAAGATGAATTCAGATGAAAGTCTTAAAAGTTCCTGATAGAGGGCAGCATAACAAAAGGCACAAATATGGGAGTGGGAGATGGCAAAGAGGATATGTGGGCAAAATTTTAGTAGTAAGGACTAACAAGTCAATGGCATGTATGACAGAAAACAAAATCAAACGGGGAGTTAAAGGTGTGTTTAGGGATATATTCCCGATCATCTTGAGAAATATCTGAGTAAAACTCAAATTCAATATTTAAGTACAAAGTATGCACATCAAAGAGGACTTTAAATAATGAGGCAGAATAGAATCAGTAACAACTTAGATGGGTTGGGTGGCTTTTGTCAGGGGATGAAAGCAGCTGAAGACAAAAGAACAAGATGTTAAAGGTGTTAAAGAGAAAAACGTCTGATGGAAGTGGATTGAGGAATGGAGAGAGTGCAGATTCAAAGGCCAGGGAAGACTGAGAAGAGAAAGTAAGAGGAGGCAAAGATGTAGAGTTTGTTCTTTTTGCCTGAGTGCCCATTATTGGTTGCTTCAAATGTCTTCAATAAATGAATCAACCTGGCAACATATCTTTTCATGGTTTTTTAAGCTGTGCACTGACTAACTCCTAAATAGATTAAGGTAGGCAAATATTTATAAAAAATGTAAAAAAACAGCATTTTAGGCTAATGCTTACCAATTTTAATCAAAATGTAAACAAAAAGAGCTGAAAATGAAACGACCATGTTAAGACAGGGTAGACCAAATTTTCTATTTTACACTGAATTTCTAAGTGCAGCATTTATAGTTTAATTTATGCCTTAACAAAATCTTATGGTACAGCATATTCCATGATTTTTAAGCCTTGTAAACTATTATACGACTTTGAAATCGGGGAATGTGTTATGCAATTTTTTGTTGTTTATAAATGTGAAAAACCCATCTGAAAGAATACACATACTTGAGGACAATGAAGAAAGAATAAAACATTTACCTTACTCTCAAAAAAGATAGAATCCACAAAGCAGAAGGCACAGGACATTAACACCCCAACAATCACATACACACACACACAAAAAGCATGTGTAAGAAACACATTCAGAAAGAGTAAGCAAAGTGTCTTGATTGCAAGTTGATGGTTCATAATTTGCCAAATCCCTCTTTAAAAAAAACACCTATAAACAACCCATCCTCACAAGAAGAATACTGAAAAAATGGTATCAATGAATTCAAAATCTTCAGTTTTGACAAGAATGGTGGTGAAATCCAACATTAGTCTGCAGATTACAAGAAAAAATTGTAATTGAAATGAGGCAAGAACAGTTTGGATCCTTTTAAGAAAACTGAGCTAGTGCAACTTATTCCAAAAGTCTGGATTAGCAGGACAATCTGTCCTAGTGGTTAAGAGCAGTCACCTTCAACAATTTATTATTTTCCCCCCATATTCTGAGACTAGATTCTTCCCCAATGGAATGATCAAAAGCTAATATTTCTAACACAATGGTTCACAGCATAAGATGTTACAAAGAAGTGGTACCTTTTTTAAAACAGGAAAATATCATTTTACAGCATTTACAACCAGATCAAGGTATAAAACCATGAATAATTTAGCTCTGGTAGATCATTATATTAGAGATAACTTAATCCAAGTTGTAATCCAACTCAGTACAAATGTATCTGCATAAAGTTACCTCACCTCTTCATGATCTCCACCAAGATATTGTATCGAATTTCATTAGAAATGTGGATTCTTCTTAAACTGCTTTTTTCCTCCCTTGATTGCATAAAATTTTAAGCAGCCATCTAATTCCCTCATATTCTCATCTTGTTTTGAAATAACAATGCAAAAAGAAAGTGGGATATCAAAAGACCAGAAGTAAAAAGTTTGTTCAACTAACTTAAATGGCTTTCCTTAATCATTATAACAGTCCTTGTCCTTGAAATGACAAGTAATCTCTTGTCCAATCCTTAGAGAAAGCAATAAAGGGAATTTGTTCTGAGTAACAGCCATAGTTCAATTGAAGAAAACCATCATTTATATCTTCTGTTGTGTGTTCACATTAACATCTGATCATTTGGAGATTGATGCTTTTCAAAGAAAAGTGCAAATCTTAACACTACTTTATTCCTCAGGTTTATGTTTGGCTATTTATTGTAGCAACCAAAATAGAAGAGAGTAATAGTCTCATTTTCCACCAGGTTTGGAGGCCCACATCTAGAGGTTAGTTTTCTGCTAGGTCAGACTGTCATTACACACTCACAGAATATCATATCCAGCAGACTGGGCTGCATTCCTGTAGAACTGGAAACACTACCACCCACCCTCTACTATTCTTCTCCCTTCTTTTCTGCCAACAACAGGAAGACAACTATGTCAGGATATTGGACATAAATTCATTGAAGCGTTTTGAATACTGTTCGGGATTGACAGTGGAAATTTCTGCTCCAGCCTGGAAAACAAAACAAAAAACCTAAAGCACATATAATATCATTCAAGCATAAAAAGTGGCATCAGTCATTTCTTTAAAGAGATTGCCTCAAATTTTTAAAAATCTGAGAAGTAACAAATGGCTCTATACTGATTCATCCTCTTCAGAATCTGAAGGAGAAAAGGGCTTACAATCTACATATTACCAATGGACATTTATGAAGAAAAATTGCTCAGCTGATGATGTTTCAAACATCTTCTGACTATCCTAGCCTTTTTGGCAGTAGAGCATGCTCTCCAGGCCCAGTGTTGTTTGAATGTTCCAAGGGGCAAAGCTCTCTTCCTGTACTTCCATTCAGTTTAGAGAGAGCCGAATAATCCACCTGCAGCAGAGAGGCAGAACATCTGAACAGGCACTTGTATAGCCACCAGAAAAATGTGGTTACAATGTCTCTAATTGTGATTACATCCTCTCTCTCATGCTTTTTGCGGAGGCAGAGGAACAACAAAGGCACTTGTCTGAAAGATGATGCAGCCTACTTTAGGATTATGGAAAGAGTAGGACTGCCACCCCAACAGTAACTTCATCACCTGCACAAAAGTATATTGTTACAGTGTTCAATTAGAATGAAGGGCTGAGGCTAGAAGACACTCCAGGAAAAAAAGTTGAGATTAGCATTTTACTGGAAATAAATTATCAGGAAACCAAGAGTCCTCTTAAAATTATTGTTAAGGCAGATGAAAAGAAAAAAAAGAAAAACTGAGCAGAAAGGCACTGGACCATGCCCATTTGAACAGGTAAATTGGACTGGAAAAGGATATATCGTTATCCTAATAGCCTCAGCTCTAGCATCTGAATGCTCCAAAGATTCTTCTGCATTAATTTCATACTGATCCTCATTTAGCATTTTGTAACCTGTGGCTTTGGATGATGAGACTTTGATGGACGGAGCTAAACTGGACAAAGTTATTTAAGAAGAAAACCATGTACACCGGCAAGAGATTCATTGAAAGGAAATATCCTGTGGGTGATGGTGATGGTAAAAGACTCAGGAACAGACAGAAATAGAAGACAGAACAACAACATAAAAATCATATCAAAATGTATCTTTGGTGTGGTCATATTAAAATATTCCTGATGTATTTACTTGGAAGCTGCGGAATGGTCAGAAAACAACCAAAATGATTGGAATATGAAAGACTATAATGTACGTGTTTCTCCGACAATAAGACCAGGACTTATTTTCTTTTGGACCCCAAAATAAGCACTAGGACTTATTTTCAGAAAGTGTCTTTCTCCCCCCCCCCCCCCCAATGTACGGGAGGCCCACTCCTTCTGTTTGCTTGCCACAAGCAGTGCCACCCCCGCAAGGCAGTAGAGATGGAGCTGCCCTATACATCCCACACCAGAATGTTTTAGGGCCCTCGCAGCCAGGCCACCCACACCCTGACACCTGCCGTGGCATAGCACATCGCTCTGCCTCCTTCTCCATTGCGGCTACGAGAAAGCAGAAGTAGGCTGGTGGCCATGTGTACACCTGCTGCACATGGCTGCCAGTACTGCCACTGTGGAATAGATATTGGGGCGTAGATGGCTTGACTATAGGAGCCCTGAGGTAAGCCAGCGTGGGGCGCATGGGGCAGCTCCATCCCATCTTATCTTGTGGCCGTGGCACCACAAGCAACCAGATGGAATGACTGGCTGCACAGGCTCTTAAATAGAGCTTATTTTGGGGTAAGGCTTATATTAGGCGCATGCATAAAAAATATGCTAGGACTTATTTTCGGGATAGGTCTTGTTTTTGGGAATCAGGGTAACTTACTTAAACAATACAGAATGGTAATCCAATTACACTTCCACCACTGAAACCTAATATATGTTTTAGAGGTAGAGAAGCCATGCTTCTCTGACTGGATATGGCTTTTATTTAACAAAATTTCTATTCCAGCTTTTCATTATTTTTTGCAAATTCCAAAGCCCTGGTATGCCCAAGTGTGGGAGGAAGGTCACACTTCCACTCTCTGTCATTAGGCTCGTCACAAGAGTCCATCCAGACAGAAACCCAATATTTTTACTGTTGCCTTTGTTATATTTGTGTTTTTATTTGTGCTGATAAATAAATAAAGGAAGACTAGTATAGATCTATTTCAAGCTATTTAGCTCTCATCAGCTAGCCATATCCTTACTGGGATTCGAACCTGTGCTCTATTGCCTCTCAGGCAGGGAGTTAACCATTTGAGCTACAGAGAACGTTCTCTGTCGTTCTCTGTAGCTCAAATGGTTAACTCCCTGCCTGAGAGGCAATAGAGCACAGGTTCGAATCCCAGTAAGGATATGGCTAGCTGATGAGAGCTAAATAGCTTGAAATAGATCTATACTAGTCTTCCTTTATTTATTTATTAGCACAAATAAAAACACAAATATAACAAAGGCAACAGTAAAAATATTGGGTTTCTGTCTGGATGGACTCTTGTGACGAGCCTAATGACAGAGAGTGGAAGTGTGACCTTCCTCCCACACTTGGGCATACCAGGGGTTGTGACTTTAAGTATATACCTCCCACCCTGGCTGGCTGATAAAAGGAGTCGTTCTCTGTAGCTCAAATGGTTAACTCCCTGCCTGAGAGGCAATAGAGCACAGGTTCGAATCCCAGTAAGGATATGGCTAGCTGATGAGAGCTAAATAGCTTGAAATAGATCTATACTAGTCTTCCTTTATTTATTTATCAGCACAAATAAAAACATATATATATATATATATATATATCAAATGGTTGCATCCCTGCCTCTTTTTCACAATTTTGGATCACTGCTCAGCCAGCTGTGGCTTCAGCTGTTCTGAAATATATTATAAAATGTGATATTGCTTGGCTATCCCTTCATGGATTATTTCCTTGCTGTGGTGAAGGGCTTGCATAGCTCAATGAACCTATGAGCTATGCCATTCAGGGCCACCTAAGATGGACAAGTCATAGCAGAGAGCCATGACAAAATGTGATCCACTGGAGAAGGAAATGGCAGCCCACTCCATTATCTTTGCCATTAAAACCCATGGACAATACCAAAAGGCCAAAAGGCTTGAAGGAATGTTGTCCATGGAATTGCAATGGGTCAGACATGACTTTGCAACTAACAACAACATTTGCTTGGCTAAGCACAATGAGAAAAATGCAAACAAATAGTTCTTTCTTACCCCATGCTTCACAGTTTTGGCAGCATGCGCTGCTTTTTTCTTGGTGTCATAAGGTGTAAGGATATCTATAATTGCCATGAAATATACCTCCTTCTTAGGGGCACCTGGTTAAAACAAGATAGAGAAAGTTATTAGTACTGGAGGATGCAGAACTATTTTTAGGGTTTGCTATTCTTATTGAACTGCAAGCACAACTAAAGCACTCCAGAATTTTTTATGCTAAATGATCCAAGAACTAGATTTTTATCAACAGATGCTTCAGGCAATACCTAAAACAGTGAAAATATTGAGGAAGCAGGGGAAAAAGTGGATGATTTTATTATATGCAGAGCAGTTTTCTCTTCAACTATGGTAGACTTGAGAGTAAATATTATTTTTTTAAAAACTTTGCAATAATAATAATCCTCAATATACCATCAGTCATTTAATGTCCATTTGATGTTACAATTCCGAGGGGACTTTATGGACCTTAAATCACTTCCAGCCTTCATAAAACATGGTGTCATTCCTCCCGCCCCCTCCCCCAACTCCCCCCAATCATATAATTGTGCTGTGCTGGTCAACCTGTTCACATTTACCACCAGTTATCAAGTGTCCAGTGACCATGCAATTGCCATTTGTACTCTTCTCTGCTGGCTTCCTCAAAAAGTTAATGGGGAAGTTAGCATGGGGAGTTATTGTAGTTGTTGAGGGAAGCAGTCACATGGGCATCTTGCTTAACAACCATTCCATTCAATGTGATTCTAGTCCCAATTTACTCATAAGTTGGCTATACATCAGGCTGTTCAAAATATAAATAGTCCTCAACTTATAAGCACATGGAATCTTGGTTAAAAAAAAGGATCATTAAACAAAAAATCATGTGACTGCTTTGCTCAATGACTGCAATCTCATTCCCAGTTGTCGATGTTAAGCAATTTTATTGATTGTTAAACAGAGGGAGATAAGGATGAGGAGGGGGGCTTGGGAGGTCTTGCGAGACCTTTAAAAGCTACAGGGCACACCAAATTGCACATTTTTGGGATGCTTCTAAAGCACCATGAGAGTCAGCTCTGTTCTCACAATCCTTTGGAAACCTCCTTCTCCAAATTGGGCAACTTGGAGAAGAAGAATTTCAAAGAATGGAGCCCATTTGGAGAATGGAACAAGGTATCCTTAAAAGGAAAGGTGCGCCTTACATAGACTGCATGATATGCTTGTCAGCAGTTGAAGAAAATTGTAAAGTTAAGTGGGCTGCTTTGCATGTGCTAATGAGCTAGGTAGCCAACGAAGTCCTTCTGGGCTATGGCAGTTTTTTGCATGCTGGTGGGCCCTGTAGCAAATCAAGGCTTCCTGGGGGAAAGTTTCCATGTTCTGGTGGCCTACAGAGATTGGGGGCAGATAGGTGGGCACAGGGAAGAAGCTGTACCCGCCTCTGGAATCATATCTGCAAACAATCTGCCAAATTTTGTTCACGTAACCACAGAGGAACTACAATAGACATAACTTTGGGCACAAGTTTTAAATGGTTGCTGAATGAATGGTCATAAATTAAGGACTACCTGTAGGCATAGTGAATACTAGACAAAGCTGCTAAAGGACATGAAGATCTTCTGGACATTTGTGTATTAGAGAAGACATCCAAATGATCTTCTCTATCACCTGGCTCTCAAATAGACACTCCTACTCTATACTGTGGCTGCACACACTATGAGGAAAATTAATCTGGAAGTCATGTCTTTAATTAAGGCAACATTACTGGATATACTGTTGCAGTTCAGGGAGTCAAACAGTCTTAAGATTTCAAAAAAAGTGGAGAAAATAAAGTTGATTCAAATAACCACCGTGTATCAATAAAAGCTTACAATCAGACTCTGGCTTTCACAATTTTACATTTGTCTTCCATTTCCATTACCAACATCCATATTTCAGTACTTACTTTCATGGCTTTTCATAGCATAGACATCCACAGATGGATCAAACTCCCCAGGCCCAAAGAAACGTGGGAAGTTGAGAAGGTTACCAGGACTGTCAGGTGGAGTCCCATAGGAACCAATTGGATTCCCACCTATGCCATCATTCTCACATTCTTCATCTTCTGCCCGGTTTTCAACTTCCATCTCTTCTTGCTCAGCTCGATCAACATCATGAATTCCTACCAGCAAACTGTAATCCATGATTTTCAGTTGTGCAAGAAACTGGAAGTCAAAAGAAAAAAAATCCTTTTCATTTTCAATGTCTCTCTATCACCTCTGGAATTTGAGTTAAACCGTCTTTCATTAACTTGGCACCAGCTCCAAGTATTAAGTCCCATAAATCTCAAAGCATTTTTACATGATTGCTTGAAATTCTTGGGTTTACCGAGTTATAGAAGGAAAATACTTTTAATACATTTTGTGACTTTGCAGCTTACTTCATCAGATGCATAGAATGGCTAGATGGATGTAGAATTTAAAATGGGATGAGGTGGAAGGGAAGACTAGTTAATTATGCATGTGCAGGTTACATATCAGACAGACAGCAAGTACCGAATCAATTAACAATTGTAATATGTTAGAAAACACTGTTTTTGCAGAAATATTGCATAAAATTGTGAGTTCAGCACTCTCTCATTCAATGATCCTGAACTTTTACAAAATGGTCATTTTAAGATCTGTTGTACTTTGAAGTCTGCATTCTGTTTAAATTTAAATTGATTAAACAATCCAACAAAGCTTGTTAGTTACAGAAGGCGCTACCAAATTCCTTCTGCATTGTGTAGGAGTAACACTCACTTCTGTTGATCTTGAGTAATGGAAAACTCAGTTACTCTTGAGTAAGATGAAGGAGGAAATTTCCAAAGTAAATGCAAGAGAAATAAAACTCCTCTGTTTGCTTTTTTTAAAACAGATTTTCAAATTAATCTAAATTCACTTTAGAGTCTGAGACAGAGCCTACCTGACATCTCTACCTTATCTAGTTTTTAAAGAGTTTGAAAATTATTGTAACAGTGGGGATTCTGTCAATCCCACTCCTTAGTTATGCCCCAATTCCCAAAAATCAACAAGTCAGCTATCCTACCTCAACATCTCGCTTCAATTTCTCCAGGAAATTTTTTTTACATTCCTCTCCAACATGGAGCTTTTGGCCTTCATTTAGAAAATCGTTGTCTTTAAAGGTTGGTAGGTCCTTAGCCTAGAGAGGATTGAACTCAAGTAAGTGCAAAACATTGCTTCCATATTTTAAAATCTAAAGCAGCTTAATATACTCTTTGCTAAAGTTGGGGCAAATTCAATTCCAATCAACTTTGAGTAAATAATTTAAAAATTATGAAAATATTGATGATAAACTACTGGGCTAAAAGTAAAAGTTTGTGAGAGATTGTGGGAAGGAAGTAGAGAAGGATTGCAGGTTAGGTCAGAAGAGCAACACAGCCCAGTTGAAGACAGCAGTTCAAAAAGAGACTCCTCCTAGGAACTGGTCTTTCCATTTTGTTGTCAAGCCTCACACAGCTAGCAAACCAAAGAACCAAAGCCATATAGATTTCAAGATGATGTATCTGGGATAAAACCAGAAACTTTTAAGGGCAATTCCTGCCATACTTTTACTAAATTAACTATGGTGGAGTGTCTTTTTTTTTAAAAAAGCCCCATCTTCCTAACCTACATATGTTCTTTTGATCTATCTGATGGGGCTACATAGTAAGGGCATCTTTGGGATTCCTGGATGATGTCGCCCATTTTGAACATGCACACATCAAGTTTTCCATAATTAGAAAGGCTGTAAAACTCCTAGTTCAGGACAAGGACAAGTCAGTCTTTCCCTTGTTTTCACCAGTTTTTGTTGTTGTTTTATCAACAACAGTTTTTAGAAGTGGTTTGTCATTACTTCCTTCCTAGGGCTCAGAGAGCATGATTGGCTCAAGGTCATTCAGCTGGCTTGTGCTTAAGGCAGAATTGGAATTCAGAGTCTTGTGTTTTTTAGCTGGTGCCTTAACCATACAACAAATTGGTTCTCTTTCACCAATTAAGTAATTAGGAAACATACTTGTTGCTCTTGAAAGTGCTTGTCCTCTATTTATAGTATTAATTTCAGGTTCAGATTTCAATAACATATACCATCTTTATCTTACCCTATTGACTGTCTAGATTGCTTATGTCTAACAGTGCAATAGTATATTTCAATGCTTATATTCTGTAACATTTGGAAGCCTTAGTGCCCCACCTTAGAATGAGGTTGCAAAAAAGCAATAATAATAATAATTGAAGCATTTTCCTTGTTTTAAAAAAAGGTTGGGTTCATGAAGCATAGAATTGGGTCAGTAAAAGGTTTATATGGTATGAGATCATACTAATATTAACTGGGGCAAAAAAAGATAGGGCAAAGGATAGATACATTTAGAAATCAATCTAATTCAAATAATTCATTGAAGAATATGGTGGCAATAATAACAATTAGAAACCCAAAACAGCAACAGAAGGAATAAACATTGTTTTGGTTCTTTACATTTATAACCAGGGATGCTTATAGGTGGCACATTCAGCCAACATAAGGTCTTCAGTGGTCCCTCAAGGTGCATCCCATATATGTAAAATCATAAATATGAAAGATGTTTATTGGAATGTAATGATCAATACCAGAAAATACTAAATGGTGCTCAGATGCTGAAATACACCATGTAAATTAATTGGAGACAAAGGAAAGGTAAAGATAAGGAGAAAGAGAGGATACAGAGGAGAGGGAGAGAAAAAGTAGGAGAGAAGGAAGGAGTGGAAAGAGGAGAGAGGAGAAGGAGAGAGGAAGTAGAAAAGAGAGGGATGGTAGAGGAAAGAAAGGAGATAGGGAGAAGGACACAGGGAGAGGAGATAGGACGGCAGTGAAATAGGGTATAATATGGTATATTGAAAACAGAAGAGCAAATGACAACTGTTCAGAGTTGAAGGAATGATATGATAATAGACAACACAAAAAAAATTCTGTTCAGATGTAATGGTATACTTGTGGTTATATGTATGAAATTAAAATAAAATGAAAAACTTTTTCAAAAAAAGTGCATCCCAGATCTCCCTTCCAATCCTTCCATTTTCTACTTTACTCCTTCCAACTGTGCTTTCTCTCACTGCTAAAACCTGCAGTTTCCACTTTCTGTCTCACCAAGAGAATCCAGAGTGACTTCTAGAACTGTTTGACAGCTGTACTCATAGTGATATATGGAGTGAAATGCAAATAATTTTGAGTGACTATATAATTTATAATACAGGTAGTCCTTGACTTATAACCAACTGCACCTGGAATCTTGAGCAAAGTGGTTGTTAAGCAAGATGTCCCTTGATTGCTTCACTCAATGACTACAGCTTCGATACTCCTGGTTGTGGTCATTTAGCTATCTCACAGGTCGTTAAGTGGACAGAGTCCCAGGTAAGATTACCTCAGGGGCATGAGACGGGCCCTAGGAAATCCAGGCCATATGTGTGCGTCTCTCACTTCTGAAATTGTAAATTCTCTCTGCTGAAATCCAAGCAGGATTTTCAGTCCCTGAGGAGAGAGACAACTTGTATCTAAGAAAGTGGTATAATGTACTGCGATGGTAAGATGGCATCCTTCCCATGGCCATCTCAATTCAAAGCACTATTAAATGAACATTCATAAGTTGCGGACTACATGAAAGAGAGAAGGTCCAAAGGAAAAAATGCTGTTTAAACTGCCTTTGTCTGTATTGCTCTCAATCCCAACAGGAAGAATCTTTGAATAAATGTATTTTGAGGAGTCTCAGAGGCAAACCCACTGGCAGTTTTTTGTTTATAACTGGAGAGCCACAATCAATGCTTATGTGTTTAAATGTATGCCTGGGCATACATGCTTGTAGGGGAGAAATGGAAGGAGAGAGGATATCCACTTTTGACTGATATCTGAGTTTCTAATAATCTTTTATATGCATTTAGTTAACTCTCAACACTACAAAGATATCCCATCCTGGCTTAGAACAAATATTTTACCCCCAAACAAGAGTTTAAGCCATCGAGAAGAATAGAAACATGTTTATTTTGATAAGCACTAATTGGTTTAAGAACTAGTTAATACTTATTTTAATATTATATCAAGCTGCTAATGTCATGTATTACTGCCAGATTCTATTAAACTTTGATATTTTATATATGATTTTGATTATCAGTCTTTTTTAAACAAAAATGCAGCTTCTTTTTAAAACAAAAAAATAAACTTAATTGAAAAAAGAATGCAAAGTCATCATATGAAGGATAAGAACACAATCATTGTGTGCTCTTTCCTATTTCTACCCCATATATGTTGCAAGGTAGCTACTCAAATGCAGTTTAATGCATCTTCTCAGCCCTTCAATATGTCACTTTCCTCTATTATATAGCAGAGGCCAATCCTTCCTAAACTGTCACTTTCCAAAACTTTGCTGGACTACAATTCCCATCATGCTCTCTGGGAGATATTGGGTTGGGGGCTTGTATAACATAGGATCTTTTGTCTAATCCTGTTAGAAGTACTGATACAGAAATAACTTTTTATAGGTTTATTCAAACACAAAGGTTTTTATTTTAAAATTTTCTCTAACTTTGACTTTTACCTTTTCTTTGTCGCTGGCTTCTCTTGCTACTGTTGAACCCTGGAGGAGAAAGTAAAAGTGGAAAGCAATTATCTACTTAAAGCCAAAAGTTTTTTAAAAAAAAAACTCTGACTACATATCTATAAATTAAGGGCTAAGTCAATGCACTTTTCTTTTTCTTCTTTACTCTAATTTCATTTTCTAAACCTTTAAACCATAAAAAGGTATCTGGGAAAATATTACACTCCCCAGAACTGAATACATTAAGTCAGCTTTACTATGGTATGTTAGCTTTAACTGATGCTGCACAGAAAAAGAGGACCTCTCAGATTCTTTCCAATTCTATGATTTAGAAATGACTTATGAAGGTAAACAGCCTTTTTCTCACTTTCCTAATGTGATCCACATGGATCACATGGATCTGTGAGGATCACATTATCCTCTCCCCCAAGAAGGCATGTATTTTCCATGGCTGAAGGCAGAATGCTTATACAGACAGACCAGCAAGATTCAAGGAACATGCTAAATTTGATCCAGAATAATACAATAGAACTGCTATGTTTATAATACATCCAATAAATGAAGACATTATGGCTCTATGGATAGTCAGGCTCACACAACATACTAAAACAACAGCTGAATTCTCTCATCTCAGTGAACCATAAACTAATTGCCTTAAAACTATCACAGTGTTTGATTTAGGAAATCAAGTGCATTTATGCAGTACAGTTTGAATTTTTTTGGGATATGTAGTGCAGGAATATATATGCAATAATATTTCACTTCTGATTGTCAGCTACTCTTTGCATTATATGCAAATAGAAGTTGGCTACTCTTTGCATTATATGCAAATAGAAGTTGGCAAACAGTCATAAGATTACCTAAAAACAAAAGATTTCCAAAGAATTAGTCTAAACATTTCTGAATAAATCACAGTTATTCAAAAGAAAATATTTACTTTACGCTCTAATGTCTCTTAACAACCCCAATTTGGGGAGTGAGATAGGGAATACCAAATATTATAATATTATAATAGAATAGAATATTTCTATACTAGCACATCACAGGAATTAAAAACACAATACAACTAGTGAATACCGCATCTCATTTTACAGAGAAAATCTGGAAATAATCTTTCTCCTTTTAACTCTGTGGTGATAGCTTTCTTCTTCCAGCATAAAACTCCTACTGAACGCAAAATCAACACCAGGCCTAAATGCTTCAGTGTAGCCATGGTCTACAAGACTCAACCCTCAAAGAAAACCAATGTTCTTATACAAGGAAACCAAACCATGTGAATATAAAAGTAGTCTTTGACTTATGATTACAATTGACCCAAAATTTCCATTGCTAAGCAAGACAGTAATAAAGTGTGTTTTGCCCCATTTTATGACCTTACTTAATGTTGTTAAGTAAATTGCCGCAATTCTTAATTTAGTAACATAGTTAAGTGATTCCAGCTTACCCATTGACTTTGCTTGCCAGGTCACAAAGTGTGACACTGCAACTGTCATAAATGTGAACCAGTTGCCAAACATCCAAAATATGATCATGTGGATGTTGCAATGGTCCTAAGTGTGAAAAATGATCATATCACATTTTTAGTGCCGTTGTAACTTCAAGTGGTCAGTAAACAAATGGTGGTAAATCGAGGACTACCTGTAGTAGCCATGTGAATAGTATTTTTCAAACAATCTTACTTTTTTCACAACTCCAAGATTTAAGTATCTGCTTAGAATTCTAAACTTACAAGGATGCACTTTTTTGAGCCAGAATGGGACATTGTTAAACTTCAGAGATGCTTACCTTGAGATCGTATTTTCGATGTACTGTCAACCGGTGACTAAATACATTCCTGGTGACTACCATGTAAGTTTCCACACCATCTACTGTAAGCCTGTACATGCCAAGAAACTGGGGTAAAAGTGTATTTCCATGACATTCCACAATGAACTGAAGAGAATAAGGGAAAAAAGGAAAGAATATATAATCAATTAGTGTAGTCTGAAAGCTGCCAGGTTTTGGGGGGCTGCCACAAAAGATTTAGAAGGGCATTTGAGGTACTTTTAAAAGTATCAATGTTTCATAACCTAAGCGGATATACTAAATTATTTATAGTAAATGAAACCAAAAGGACAACATTTTTTTATTTTGTAGAATGTTTGAGAAATATGACATTGGTAAAGCATAATTGTTTTACTACAATGGTTAATGTTAGAAACAAGAAACATAGTTCTGAGCCCTACATTCAACTCAACCCAATAGAGACTATTGGTTTAGAACTCTTTGATAATACAACTAGAATGTCTTAAATGAAGAAAATAAATTAAAATAAAAATGAATTTCAGGATAAAATAAATGAATGATACAAAACTAAATCTGTGCATTTGGGTGGTAAAAGAGCCTTTTCTTTTGATATCCTATTTCCTCTATTTGGAATGTTGCTTCTCCATCACAAGATATAAATTAATTAAGGCAGGTCTTTTCAGTAACTGGAAAGTGAAAAAGAAATTGAGGAAAATGACTCTGGGCATATCTGCATCTTCTAAATAAAAATATTGTAGCATAATTCATAAATTATGCATGCAATAATCTCATAAACTAGAAAGAAACAATCTCTTTTTTCAGCTTCTTCTTTCTCTCTTGCTGGGAGAGAACAGGAAAATTTCTGCAGAAGTCTTCTCTAAAATACGAGCATCTATTAAAATTCCCACCAAAACAGTATACTTTCAAGAAACCAGAAGCATCATGGCAGAAACATCTGGGAAAAACCCAGCTGGCAAATCGTAATCGGGAGGCCTTCGGGCCAGAACCGGCCTGAAGGGATGGTGAAGCAGGAGAGGCGTTTTGAATGACCACAAGGAGCAAGAAAAGCTCCTCGGCAGGTTGGAAACAAAGCGCTCCAGCCTGGCAGCGGGGGTGGCAGCCATCTTCAATGACTGTTCTGGAGCCTGGGCATCCAGATCAAGTTTAGAGCAGGAGCGGCGATCAGACGGAGTGTTGGGACCGGGAGAAAGTCTGGCTGACCCAAGGGTAAAGAAAACTTTAAATTTGGAGCTTAAAAAAATTATCCAGTGATTTAAAATAGCGGCTAACTGTCACTTGGAATTTGAAAGTAGGAAAAAGAAAAGGAAAAAAATGGGGACTGTCTAAGAAGATTGTGGCTAATATAATTGGAACTGGAACATTTTTTTTAAAGGGAAAAACACAAAGAAAACAGAAAAAACTTCATTGAGTGGATTTGGAACTTTTGGTTCTTGAAAACTTTGACAATTTATTGATTTGACTGTCTCTGGGATTGTAAAAACCATCTACTGGAGGAAAGAAGATACAACATCTGGCAACAAAGTACAGTGGACAAACTCAACCTTGAATACAAGAAAAATAAGTGGAAGATTTTCTAAGGAGTGTATGTGTCAGCCTCTGCTTCGCTTGCTTGCTTTCGGCTGCCATGGAAACGGGGGGAGGGCATGGTATTTTGGATGGGAATAATTAGTACAGGAGGATTTATCAAACAGGAAGTTTTGTTCTCACCATTGTCTGCACATACTGATGGCTGATGTTTGGACTTGGTCAAGGCCAACCATCCTGCATACCAATCTGATGATGTTACTTGGAGATGCAACCCACATGACACCTAAGGGAGATGCAGATTGGGCAATGGGGTGGAGGTTGTTGGAGGGAGGAGGCTGGGCAAAAGTTTGATATGTATGATTTCACGCTTTTCTGCCTCAGACCTTGCTTTACTTCGCTGCTATCTATTCATAACCAGTAAAAGTACTTTTAATTCCACAACCATTGAACTGAGAGGTTTCTTTCCTGGTTACTGAGGGACGCATTCCTGACAGTAAGCAAGGTCTCTCTTCGCGCTCATCCCGGAGCTAACAACTTCCGAGGGGAGTGCAATAAAAACCCAAACCTCCAAAGAAATGTCCAATCCAGGCAGTGACCAGAGGACAAATGGCTGGCTGCAGGAGACTCCTGCCCTTTGGAGACGGAGTGTATGGTGAACTGAATTTGGAGGAAAGATCTGTTTGCCTTGGGAATGGGGCAGAAGTATGAGCGTGAGGAAATTCCTGCCAGAGTTACCACCAGCCGACACCGGCGACCTGCAGCTGCCTGGCAGGAAGCAGAAGAGGAGGATCTTGTGATGTCCCACGCTATGAAACTCTTCCAAGAGGACTGAGAGAAGCATCATTTTTATGAGAGCCGGGCTGAGAAGGAAGCTGATTTTCCTGATCAAGAAGAGAAATGTGAGGAGGACCTGTCTCATCAGCAGCCAAAAGAGCCCCTCCAAGGGAGGAAGCCCCCCCCCCCCCCCCCGCAGATGCCGAATGGCAAAAGTTCCTCCTCTTGGCGTGAAATTCGGAAGTGACCCCAAGGAACTAGGATTTTTCCTGGTCTGGGAAAACTGTCCATGCAACAGTTTGGAGAAGATCTCCCCAAAGAAGAAGCCAAGGTGAGAGTGGTAACTATGGCATTGGAAAATAAGGCGGCAGCCTGGATGGTCACTTTGCATAATGATGACTCCCCCTTGCTGAGGAACTATAATGCGTTTATGGCCGCCATGAGGAAACGCTTTGATGACCCGCTAGCCGAGCATAAGGTGAAAACCAAAATAAAAACTCTTACTGGGAAGAAGTCCGGGAGCTGATTACATGCAAGAGTTTCGTGAACTATCAGTATACATGCGGGAATGGTTCAAGGAGGCTTTAATGGACAGTTTTATGGATGGCTTGAACAAGGATATATACCAGAACTGTGTTAACAGAGGGGCCCCATGCAACCTACAACGTTGGTACGAGTTGGCAGCAGATGTTGTGATTGACCTCGCCAGGGATAAATACCGGGAAGACAGTGAGAAAGGTAAAAGTCTCCCTCCCACTCTCCTGAGAGGCGCTCCGAAAGGAGGAAAGGCTTGGCTGTTTGTTTCCGTTGTGAAAAGGAGGGGGACCGGGCAGCTATCTGCCATTCAAAAATTGGCCTGAAACCCACTGCTGTGGGTGGGAGGAAACCAAACAAACAACCGTGGAAATGAAAGGACACCACCATGAAAGGGGTGGAACCTGTCGAAGATTTCCCGCCAAGCCAAGGGGAAGAAGAACCCTCCTTTTTTCTGGAGAAAGCAAAACTGACTCCGATGATGACCATTTGATAAGTCCACGATCGGGCCCCATGACCATTCCAGTAGAACTTAAAGTGCCCTCTACTCGTGCCCAAGGAAAAATGCTAGCCCTTTTGGATTCTGGATGCACACATTGCATAATTAGCCCGGAAGTGGTGGAAAAATGGGATTGAGACTGAGAACTTTGAAAGTGCCCATTGCTTTTTGTCAGTTGGACGGGTCTGTGGCTGGGGGTGGTGGTGGTGTGTGTGCCCATTTTGTAACAGAACCAGTAGAAATGTGGATGGGGGATCACCAAGAAACTTTGAGTTTTAGCGTTGCCCCAGGGATGGATCGACCCCTCATACTAGGATTACCCTGGTTACGTAAATGGAACCCTTATGTGAATTGGAGAAAAGGGTAGCTATGCATCCGTTCCGCTAAACCCCCAGAGGAGATGCAACCCACATGACACCTAAGGAAGATGCAGATTGGGCAATGGGGTGGCAGTTGTTGGAGGGAGGGGGCCGGGCAAATGTTTGATATGTATGATTTCATGCTTTTCTGCCTCAGACCTTGCTTTACTTCACTGCTATCTATTCATGACCAGTAAAAGTACTTTTAATTCCACAACCATTGAACTGAGAGGTTTCTTTCTTGGTTACTGAGGGAGGCATGCCTAACAGTATGGCCATTTCCTGTTGTTTGACTTTGTTTTGCCACAGCTAAGAAAGAAAGCTAAAAATCTTGGAACGAACTGCTTTATTTTGGGACTGGAATTTGGTATTACAGCTGGAAAAATTTGAAACGAAGAGAGAAACCTAATTAAATGTGGTAAAATATAATAATATTAAAAACTTGTTAAACTTGAACATGTAGTGTGGGTGGCATGAAGAGTTACTTGAAATGTTAAAAGACGCACATACAACACTAAAGGGTATTAAAGAACCAGAAAAATCATTGAAAAATATAAAACAGGGCAAAGGAGAGGAACTGACATAGATAAACACAAAAGAGAGGCAAGAGGTTAATGTGGGTAAAAAAAAGCTGAAAATACAAACCAGTTAGAAAATTCTATTGAGATTTACAGAGATACAGAAAGAGTAGAGAGGGAAAAAGGAAAATGCTATCTAAAAGAACAATTCAAAAATAGAGAGAAATAGTGGGAAGCAAAAAAGAGAAATCCTAGAGAGGCTTACTCAAATAATTCAAAGAAGAACGATAGGGAAAATTCTGAAGAAAAGATATAATACATATAAAAGAAAAAAAAAGAAAAATAAGAGAAGGGGATAGAAGGACAAACATAAAATTGATGAAAAATGGAATATCAAAGAGAGCAAGAGAGGAGTCAAGAGAAAATGGCTAGGAAAGGAGGAAGAGAAAGAAGAGATGCATTAGTAGAAAATGAAATATTTTAATACTGCTAATGATATATAGTTTAAAAAAATAACACTGATAATTGTGGATAACCAATTAAGTAAAATGCTTGTTATAGTAAAATTGAATGTGATCATATATGCTACCTATAGAAATTAAAATAACAAATGAAAAATAAAATGATAAATTTAGCATATTTTTTCTGAAAGGGTGAAAAATGATATTATCTGTGTTAAGAAAAAAATAAATTTAAGATGGAACCATGGGAAGAAAATAATGGGCTGAAATTGGAATGGTAATGTGGTGTAAAACAAATTATATATAAGAGAATGTAAAAAGGGGGAAAACACGGACTGTTCGTAAAATAATTTAAAAATTTGTAACAAAAAATAAAAAATAATTATTGAAAAAAAACAGTATACTTTCTCCCTGCATATATCTCACCTGGTGATATTTCTTTAGAATGTTATGCATTTCTGCAACATCCTCACTTGACACTGCCTTGATGACAAACCGCCGGTCATAAGTGGTAAGGAAGCGAACTCCACACCGCCCGTGGCTATCATTGTATACTGGAGCACTCCGGGTCACAGAATTCTGTGTGGAGATAAAAGAAGAACAAAATCCATACTTGGAAATAATGGGGAAGAGAAGACCAGACAGACAAATTGGGTATGTCATACTTGTATAAAACTAGAAAGACCATACCCGATATTTCTGTGCTTCTGTTTAGGCACAGAAAAACCAAGGGCAGGCAAAAAAAAACAACCCAAAAAACAGAGAGAGTAAGAGTGACTTACAACTTTCTGCCAGCTTCCCCACTGGCAGGGACCATTAGACAACATCCCTTCCATTTTCAGCAGGCTAGTAAGTAGCTGCTGCTGCATGGGAGAAGAGTAAGGGATTGCAAGACTGACTGGGAACTGTTACAGAATATCACAAGTAAAGATCATGTGACCACAGCAGCCAGGAGAACTGAAGCAACCACAACTTTCTCAAATTTCATTCCCCGCAGAGTCCTGGACTTTTGGACACATTCTATAAGTTAGCTTATTATGGGTTGGTTCAAAAAGTATCCTCCTATGATGTATCATCTCACCTAATTAAAGGTCAGGTCAATGAGAATTTAATACTATACAGATGACAACTAAAAGGTGTGGGGAAGAAAAGTGCTAGGAACATTGATGGGTAAATCAGCATAAAGATGACACGGAGAAGGAAATCAAAGAGAACAAAGGGAAGTTCTAGGACTTTCTCTACTTACGTTGCAGACCGGAGTTTGTTTTGGTTGAAACCGAAAACAGGTCATTCCAGATTTTAGTTTTCTGAACTCAGCCCACTCAAAATGGTTCTGCTAAACTTTTGTGCCACAATGTACAGGTAATCTCCGGGTTATGAGTGTTCCCTTAGCGAACGTTTGACGCTATGCGATAAGCGCCTCCTAGGGTTTATGAACAAGTCCCCAAACTATGAATCTTGCAGCACCATAGCAGTTAGTTGTTTACTCTTATGAACAACAGCAGAAGCTCTGCAACATTTGTCCTGCACATTGCTGGCCAAAATTGAGGTTTGGAGGGGCGAATACACTCCTTGAATGCTCCATTCGGGCCTCCAGAGGCCTCGCTTGGCACGGAGGCCGAAAAGAAGCTTGGATCCACCCTTCCAGAGCTCCTTTTTGACCTGCAAAGTGCTGGGTGAGGCCTCCGGAGGCCTGAACGGCGTACCAGAGGGGTGAATCCATCCCTCCAAAGCTCCATTTTGGCCTGCAACGTGCCAGGTGAGGTCTGCGTAGACCTGAACAAAGCTGCACATGGCTGAGAGGTTGGAGAAGAGACTGCTTGCTATATCTTCACAGTGTAAGTGACCTGGTGCAGCAGGTTGGCTGTGAGGGAAAGCAATCATGGGGAGTATGAGGCATTTTAGTGGGTCAGAGAGGCCTTGACTATGCCCCCCCCCGGCCTTCCCCACCCTGAAATACCTCATGTGCACTTAACAAGCCTCGCATTCGATTAGCAAATGCATGGGTGAAAGGGGGGAGTGATCCTGTTCAAGGTATGAGAGTCACTCCCATTCGGGTTACGAATGGAATGGGCAGGCTCCAGTACATTTGTAATTCGAGGACTACCTGTATTTGTTCTGTTCATAGAACATTTCTTCACATCAGGGTTCCCCAATCTCTTGGCTACCAGGGATTAAGGAACCTACCTGGCCTTGAACCTACCAGGCCTTGAGCCATTCAGAACAAGGCTGCGGAAGTAATGGCGAGTCTGTGCACACACCCATTTGCGCAGGCAAACATATGCAAGCACTCCATTTGTTTAAGTGGCAGGTGTGTGCCCTCGCTGCTCATGCTAATGGAGCTGCATGAGCGTATACCCGCTTGTTCACCACACAGACAGAAACATCTCCTCTCCCCGCCACTAGTCCACAAAACCAGAAAGGTTGGGAAACTCTGCTTTACATACAATATCTATTCTTTAGTTACAAGTTTCTGCTGTCCTCTTTTTTTAGGCTTCTCCCTCATGTCTTTGTATCGGGGTGAAATTCAGCAGGTTCTGGCAGGTTCTGGAGAACTGCTAGCAGAAAGTTTGAGTAGTTCAGAGAACCGGCAAATATTGCCTCTGGCTGGCCGCAGAATGGGATGGGAATAGATTTTTTGCAATATCCTTCCCCTGCTACGCTTACCAAGCCACGCTCACAGAACTGGTAGTAAAAAAAAATGAATTTCATCACTGCTTTGTATGTTTCTTTACTCATACTTTCATCAACTGCTCCCCAAATCCAACTTTTTTTCTATCTACCATTTTTTTCAGCCTGACTTATTTTAAATATACAACTTGTTTGGAGGAAAATACAAATACAATCAATATAATAAATAATTCAATCTGATTCACTGACACCAGCTGTTGTTGCACAAGATTCATTTCCAATTACAACAAAGGCAGAAATACTTTCATACTTCAAGTATTTATATAATTGACACATCTCAATAAAAACTATTAGTTTGTTCCATACCTGATAGTCCTGATCATCAATCCCAAATCTTTCCCGGAGATTTCGGAATACCATTGGACAATACTCCTTAAATTTGAAGCGGCTTGGGAGATTCTCTCTGAAAGTAGCCACAAAGAATTTGTGATTCAATACTAGAAATAGAATAGAAAATTAGAACAGAACAGAATACTTTATTGGCCAAGTGTGATTGGACACAAGGAATGTACTTCTGGTGCATAAGCTCACAATGTACATATAAACAGCAAGTATTAGATCATAGGTTATAACCATAATTACAATCATTAAATATAGGTTACAAACAATAATTGATAAATTATAGGAAACCAACAGAATAGAAAAGATTAGAAGATGAAAAAAGATGAGAAATGAGAAAGTGCTGTGTTAAGTGTTCAATGGAATGATGGCACAGGGGAAAACACTATATCTGGTTGTGCATGCAATGCTCTATAGTGGCATCCTAAGGGGAGAACTTGAAATGAATTATGTCCAGGATTTTCAGGATGTGAGGGGTCTGTAGATATTTTCTGTCTTCTTTCTGGTTTGTGCAGTATACGGAACTTCAGTGGAAGGCAGGCTGGTTGGGATCATTTTTGTGCAGTTGTTAACTATCCATTGAAGTCTATGTCTGTCCTGTTTGGTCGCTGTGCAAAACCAGACAATTAGAGAGGTACAAATGACAGACTTGATAATTCCTCTGTAGAACTGCATCAACAGATTCTTGGCAATATGAGTTTTTTGATTTGACATATGAAGAACATTCTTTGTTGTGCCTTTTTAATGATGTTTCTAATGTTAGGTGCCCATTCCCAAGTCCTTGGACCTAACAGAACCTAGAAACATGAAGGTCTCTACTGTTGATACTGTTGACGTTAGCGTGTAAATGTAAAATTTAAATATACATATAGATTATTATTATTTGTTACATTTATTTGCTGTCTACCTCACTATAGGGCTATTCTAAAATGGCTTATAAAATAAAAACAAAGAAAAATGAAAGTATAAACAGAACCGAAGTAAAATAACAGAATAATAAAATGAACAACGAAAGAGGAACACAATGATAACAATACATGAATATGGTAAATAAAAAGATGGATAAGTGGGCAGCAGAGAGTAAGGGTGGGAAGGGTAGGTGGAGTTTGCCATTAATCTAGCAGCCACTTCCAGCCTAATCTCTACATCTCCAGTGTAGAACTCCCCTATTTGGTTCTTAGACCAACCAGAAGAGCCTGATCTTTAGAGACATGGTATGATTGAGAATATACCTTAACACTATATGTCTAGTTCTACATTTTTTGTACATAACTATTTTTTAAAATGTGTATCTACAGTACATTATGTGATGATGAATTCAGACTTCACTAGCACAATGTTCTCCCAGATATGCTGTAATTCTGATTATGTTGTTCTGGAATTCTGCAACTGTAATGCAACATAGCAGTTCAAAGACATTCAATGAAAATCAGATTGAATATCTGACTATTGGCTGCCAAATCAAAACCTGTGATTGACTGCTGCTGACTGCTTATTCTATGATGAAGTTATATTTGTTAATACTGACATTGGCTTAAGAATTTTAAAAAAATCTAAATGAATAAAAAGAAAGGCAATTTGATACATCTTCCACTATGGGCAGTGGTTCCCAAACTTGGCAACTTTAAGACTTGTGGACTTCAACTCCCAGAATCCCAGAGCTGGCTGGAGAATTCTGGGAGTTGAAGTCCACAAGTCTTAAAGTTGCCAAGTTTGGGAACCACTGCACTATGGCATTAGAGAAAGATTAATTGGGTTTAATTAAAGCAAATGAGTTGGTTAGTAACAGTTCTGAATTTCTGACTTCATATATTGACTGAAAAACCTAGGAAAGAAACTAAAAATTATGCTCAACAATTAATTTTATAAGTGAATATATATAGGCAAAATTGTTCAAAGCCTTCAGTAATTCATGTAGCATAAAAATAAGTTTTTGTCACTTCACTTCCTTTTCTGTAGGGGGTTAAATGAATTATAGTTCTATTCCACCTTAAATTGAAGGTTACATTTTCAATCTTTCAAGTAACATTTGTCTTTTCATGATCAGTCCTAAAAAATGTCCCTTCATTAGATTTGACAATCTCTTCTGGGGACTACTAGTAGGAGGATTAGACTAAATCTACTCAATAAGTAATCATGTTGGATCAGCCATCTGGATGCATTTTGGAAGCTCACAAACTTGGATTGAAAAGCAATAGACCCTTTTACAGTGACTTTCCATAAACACACACTGCCAATAAATAACCATAAATATTAGTAGCTTCTGACCCTATGTGTATTTGTTCAATCTTTTTAAAAATAGTTTGACATTAACATAAGTATTATTAGCAAATTTCAAATTACGTCCTGTGTGATTATGCCTCCTGGATATGAAAGTGTGATTCATATGATACAAACATCTTTTTCACATAATCAAGGCACTTTACAACAGTATTTTTTAAAATTTTTGAAGCCTTTTTTCAATATCTCGGTACAAATGATATAAAATGTGATTATTAAAACTAAAGATTCAACAAAACAAATAAGTCAAAAACATTTTACATGTCCTCTAATTTATAGAGAAAGATGATCCAAAGTGACATAAATATGTGTGGCAAAAGTATATGAACTTGTGCTTTCAATAACTGGTGTGACCTCCTTGGACAGCAATAATTGCAACCAAATTTCTGATAACTGTTAACCAGTCTTGTATGTTTGCTTGGAGGAAGTTTAACCAATTTCTCCTTACAGAATAGCTTCAACTTAGAGATAATGGGGGGTTCCCTCGCATGAACTTGCTTACTCCAGGTCTTTCCACAATATTTCTATAGGATTAAGATCAGAACTTTGACTTGGTCTTTCCAAAACAATAACTTTCTTCTGCTTTAATTAGTTTTTGGTTTGAAATGCTTGTGTGTTTTGAGTTGTTGTCTTGTTGCATGACACACTTTGTCTTGAGCATCAGTTCATGGACATATATCCATTTTCCAGTATATACATATACACACATTGTCATACACACAGAGACACTTAATTGACCTCTCTGTATCTAGTTTTTAAACTTGGTTGGAGAACAGATCATTTTAGCTCATATTTCTGCAGAAACAGTAAGCATTCAAAAAGATTCACAAACTTTTAAGCATTTATTATATTAATATAATAAATATATATTATACAGTGTTTATATATTACACACTGTATAATATATATTTATAACATGTTTCCCCTTACCTTCCTTCATTCCAAGCTAAAGTGTTTGAACCATTGTGCCTTTTTTTCAACAGGATGTTATTCTGGCCTCCTAATGGTTTTGCCTGCCCTATTTTGCCTCTTGTCTAGTTCTAGAATATTTTCATTAAGAGAGGTATACAATGGTGCAAGTATACTCTAATTGAAACTTTGTATGAGGGCATTATTACACCATATTAACAGCTCTATTCTCAACCTTACCTAATGATTTTATGCAAAAAATCTGCCTGAGGGGCGATCCCTGTCAAATACTTATCTAATGTAGTACAACTGTCCAGATGCAAACAGTTAAGATTCATCTCTATAATATTTCGTGATAGAAATTATCCTTCCTTAACTGCTACCCCAAAACATACTGTCAATATCTATAAAACATTTCATTTCTGCAAGATCAGGTTAAATCTGGATAAAAAGTTATATTCTGTATAAATATTAAAGACAAATACTTTGCCTAAAGTAAATTCTTTCTCATGTCAGGAGGCTCCTATATCTAAAATTCTTTATTCAGACTGATTAAAATTATTTTTCTATTTCACTAGATAAGGTAGGTACCAGTTGGAAAATATCATTGTCTCCATGGGGGACAAATAATATTAATCAATTGAATAAACATGTTAGTGTGGTGTAAAATTAAAATGTTAGACTAAAACTGGGGAGATCCAGAATCAAATCATCTTTAGCTGTAGCCACATAAGCTCACTGGGTACTTTGGACCAATTTCTCTTTCTCAGACAGCCTATTTCACAAGGATGTTGTGGGGAAAACTGGCGGAAGTAGTATGGTACGTACACCATCTTGAAACCTAGAGGAAAGGTAGGATTACTTAAGAATAAATATTTTTGTTTAAAAACTACATGAAAAGCATTATGCATAAAGGGTATAGCCAAAATCTGGGCTGGCTTCTGGACTGAATGAACACCACAATCACAATTGTAAAATTATGTTTTTAAATTAAAACACCATGATGCTGTTTAAAAGACACAAGCTACAAAAAGCAATTTGGTGATTTCATAATAGTTGTTCAGAGTTCAAAAAAGAAGCTAATTTTGAAAGAAAAAATAAAATGCTTCTTCTAATTTGCAACTACTATATATCCTCTCAACTACATTAAAATGTCGGAAGACTTCTGAAACAATTCTGGGTAGTTCCATAGATTCTGACATTCAAATCTTATGTAACTGCTGGAGGTATGTTCCAAGCAATTTTAATGGGAAATGTAGGCTAACGCTCCTTCTATGATCAGGGTCTTAACAAGGCAAAAGTGTAAATAAGATTATGGGTTATGTTTTTGGACATGTAAATGTCCAGAAAGGTCTCACAAGGTGAACAGGCCACGATAGATACCTCAGATTAACACAGATCACATCTGCCAACCTGCATTGCACCATTGTAGCAGATTATGGTCTATTCCTTCCTCATGCCAATACAATCTCAAAAATGGCCCTCATTCCTGGAGGCCCTATGGCAACAACCATGGCAGCAGAAAGACCTGCCTAAAGGGAGAGGGTGCTAAGAATCACCGGATTAAATCAGTCTGTCTTTGGACTTTGGACGCAGAAATGGTCAACATTTGAACCTTGAAAACAGATGCTTGACTAGAAGAACTGCTTACTGAACGCAGAAATATGCATTGGGATATCATTAAATTATGTGAAACACAACAAAAAGTTCAAAATTTAGTTGAACTTGATAGGACTGGGTATTTACTCTACACTAGAGGTACTGAAAATGGATGATGTGGCGGAGTTGGTTTTTTCATCAACCAAAAGCTAAAAGAATCTGTACTAAGAGATGAAAGTATATCAGACAAACTAGCCCAATGCATCATTCAATTGAACAAACAATACAAGCTTCAAATCATCCAATCTTATATGTCAACAATAAGATATAGTGATGATGAGATGTTGAAGAGTGTTATGACTATATGGTCCACCTTCAAGACAAAGAAAAATGCCAATACAAAATTCTAATAGGTGACTTTAATGCAAGAATAGGAAGAACAATACCTGAAGAAAAAGCAACTGGCCCATATGGAAGTGTGAATGAGATAACAGAAGCAACAAACTAGTAGACATTGCTAAAGGACAGGACTTTACATCATGAACGAATTTTACAAGAAAAAAACTAGCTGAATATGGATATAGAAGAGTCTATCTGGGTATACAAGTAAAGTTGACTATATCATGTCAAGTGATAAAACCATATTCTGCAATTGTACTGTCATCAATAGAATGGTACAAGCTAAAGTGAAGATACAATGCTGAAAAAATCATATCATATAAAATGATAAAGACATAATGAAAAACAAAAATAATGAGTGATAAGCTGTTAGTGCCATAAAGTATATAAAATAAAATAAAATACATAAAATAAAATAAAATGCCATAAAATCAATGAAAAATAGCAAAGCTTCAGGAAATGACTCTGTTATGGTTGAAATGCTAAAATCTGGTGGTCATAGTTTAGATAAAATACTAGCAAAACTGTATTCGAGAGGCCCCAGAGAAGAAAAATTACCCAGTGCAGGGGAAAATGCTGAAGTGATTCTTATACATAAGAAAGGAGCTTCAGATTAATTTAAAAAATTACTGCCCAATAAACTTTATTTCAGTCATTTACAAGGCTTTCACCAAGATACCAGCAAAAAGAATATTGAGAACATTAAATGATACACAGGCAAAGGAGCAGGCAGGGTTCAGAAGTGGCTACAGAATAATGGATCATATTCAGGTTGTTCAGCAAGTCATAGAAAGCCACAACAAGTACACCATACCTCTGTTCATGGCTTTTATTGACTACGAAAAGGTGTTTGATTCGGTATTCTAGCAAGCTCCCCCTATGCCTGAAGAGAAAGTTTTTGATCAGTGTTACCTGCTCTAACATATGCTAGTGAAACATGGACACTAACCTCACGATGATCCATGGTGGAGCAGTGGTTAGAATACAGTACTGCAGTCTATTCAGTACTCATCCTTCCATCCTTCCGAGATTGGTAAAATGAAAACCCATATTGTTGGGGACAATATGCTGACACTGTAAACTGCTTAGAGCGGGCTGTAAAGCACTGTGAAGCAATATAGAAGTCTAAATGCTATTGCTATCAGCACAAAGACTATAGTGATGCCATGGAAAGATACATGCTCAGCTTTACAAGACAAGATAGAAAGATCTGCGCATAGATTAGACAACAAATGAAAGTATACAATATTATTAGGAGTGTGAAAGAATTCTAATGGAAATAGGCTGGTCGCATAGCAAGAACAACTGATGGCAGGTAGACAAAGCCAGTCATAGAATGGCTCCCACTTGATAAAAAGTGTCCACAAAAGAGACCTAAGACAAGATGGATCGACGACGTCAGCAAGTATTGTGAGTCTGACTAGCAAAAGGATGCTGGGAACTTTATTGGTTGGAAACATGCGGAACAGGTCTTCATGCTGCAATGGATATTCAATGGCTAAAATGATGATAAGCCTGTGATGGCAAACCTATGGCACATGTGCCACAGGTGGCACGCAGAGCCATTTGTAGGGCATGCCAGGTGTTGCCCTTTCATATCCAGCTCGCATTTGTGCGCTAGCCTGCTGACTTCGGTCTTCTTTTTCGGCCATTTTCCACCCTCAGCCATTTTCCACCCTCCGGAGGCTTCCCTGAGGTTTGGGAACAGACTTCCGGTTTGCGTGTTGGGCCGCTTTTCACGCTCCGGAGGGTGAAAAACAGCCCTATGGGCAACCCGGAAGTCATCATTCCCAATCTTCCAGGTTGCCCATAGTACCATTTTTTGCCCACTGGAGGCTTCAGGGAGGCTTCGGGGGGTGGGGAGGCTTCAGGGGGTGGGGGAGGTTGTTTTCGCCCTCCCCAGGCTCCTAAGAAAGCCTTTGGAGTCTGGGAGGGTGAAAAAAGCACAGCAAAAGCAGAGGGAGGGCCTGGTTGTGTGCACATGCACGTGGGCAGGTTCACGCATGGGAGGCTCGCGCACACAGCATTATAGGTGTGGGCATGCCCTCACATGACCATGACTTCCCTGCGCTCCCCCCACTTTTGACACGTGATCCAAAAAAGGTTAGCCATCACTGTGATAGACTATTAAAGAAGAAAAGAAGTTTTCTTTATATCTACAAAACATTCTTGATCCATTAACAATTGTTGTCCAAACTATACATATTATTCAAATTATACTAATGGTATTAATGGGAAAAATTAACAAATATCTAATTATTAAAAGTTGATCTAGGTTGCCTGGCAATTGCAATCTCACCAAAGGTTAACATGTATGTACTTGAGATTGTCGCTTTCAAAGCATATTATGGATGAGTCAATGATGCCACCCTCACCCCTAGTGTGTAAATTTTATCCTCTATGTCCTGGTTTTATTCAAAAATGAATTGTGGTCCCCAATCATATCCTTTCACGGCTGGACATAAAGCACATTCAGACAAATGAATTGCGCCGAGTTCAATTACTCTTTTATAATAGTTGTGTTTCTTTCATGTCACACTGTCTTCTGCAACATTCAGATTCATGTCATTATATATTCATAACAAGCCATCTATTCAGATACTGAAGTTAAATGGGGAATGGGGGAGTATATTTTAATCAAAAAAATTATTACTCACTTATTGAAAAGATGATTGTCCACTTTAATCTTGCTGTAGGCTTTAAAGTCATCTGGCATTAACATAACAGGGACAGGGACATTACTCAACTCATTAATCTGCAAAAGAAATGCAACATCTAAACAGGATGTGAGGGAAAAAAGGAAGTCAGTCACCTGAATTGTGGAATGTACAATGGTAGAGCCAATAAATCACATTAACGTTTACTGGCAGTTTCAACATTAAATGCATGTGGTCAAGAAAGCAGTTATGTTCTATGAAAGGGATGATATTTATTGAGAGGAAATCATAGGTATCTGAGTGTTCCAGGCTACATCATCTACATCATGAGCAGTTGCTATCTCCAGTTTATGAGTTTGCATAATTTATGAGAGTGTAATGTTCCTCTTTCTCTGTATCAATTTTTATTCAGATAATTATTTACGTCTATATTAATAATTTCAATCTGTCCTAATCACTCATACTTTTAGATAATCATCTGATTGTATTTTGATCCTCAGATGTGTTTGAAAGTATGGTAAGCACCTGCTAAAATGTTATTTTTCTTATTACTGTGTTTCTCCAAAAAGACAACCCACCTTGAAAAGAAGCCCCATCATGTTTTTGAGCATATGCAATCAAATTAAGCCCCAACCACAAAATTAGCCTTAATTAAGACCCCACCCACCCTAAGGTTGGGGGTGGGGGTAAGGCACACAGGTAAAAAATAAGGTAGTGTGGGGATGGAGCTGCCCTACTTACTAGGCCTCGCATACCCCAACACCTGCCTTTCTTCCTTCTGCAGCCACTTGCCTCCACTCCCACGCATCGCCCTGGCCTCTGTTTCGCCTTCAGATGCTTGCTGGAAAGAATTTGCAGCAGATAAGAGAGCTCCGGATCGATCCAGACCTCTGTTATTGGCTGCAGATGTTTTCTGGCAGGAATCTGAAGGTGAAACAGAGGCCAGGGCACTGTCTACAAGTGGCAGCAAGCAGCCCCAGAAGTGGGCCAGCAATGGGCTCCTGCTGGGTGGGGTTGTCAGTATCACCACTGTTAGGTGAATAAATAATTAGAACCCCCCAAAATGAAGGCCTAGCCATTTTGTCGGGGGTCAAAGGAAAATAAGACCCAGCCTCCTTTTTGGAGAAACACAGTAGTTTGTTTTTTCTTAACTTCATGTGCTGTACTACATATATATTTGTATTTGGCCAATAATTTTCGATCAGATAAATCATCAAGTACAAAACAAGATGATCGATGATAAATATATTCAACTCTAATTGTCAGGCATTTTTATTCAATAGTATTTATTGCTACTGCAATAACAATAGATGTTTTTCCCCACAATGTAGCATATAAACAAACACCTAAATAAAGTGACTTGGGGAAGACACTTTGTATAAATAATATTCACCGAACATTTACAAATATTCACCAGTGACTTTTAAATAATTGAACCTATTGCAATTGAATGAACCAAGTTTAACCATCTACACATTTTTTCTTGTTTTCCCTTATGCAGGATTCACTTTTCCATATCAAGTCAATGTTGATTCATTAACAATTGACTGATTTGTTTGTAGTCCGATCCTGTCATTGTGGGCTGAAAGAGAAGTCAGCTTTCATGTCTAAGACAGGATTAGAACTCACAGTCTCCTGGTTTCTGGCCAGTTGCCTTAACCACTAGACCATATTCCCTGTCTGTTAAGCATATACAGATAAATCTTGCTTAATTTCTATTCCCTAGCAACAATGGTGCCGAACAAAGGGACTTATTGCTAATTCTCAATGTTCTGTCTGTTGCCACATTCTCATGGTCATGTGAACAAAATTTGGGCCCACTTGGATCCATCTTAATTTACAACTGCCCACTTACCCACTGCTGCTAGCTGGCCCTACCTGATACTATATTCACCATTACACTGTAAGTCATTACTGCACTGACCAGGGCCTTGTTTGCACCAGTGTAGCTGAGGTTATTCTTATGTCCCACCCAAAGCCTTTGGCAAAGATGTTTGGCATATGAACAAAAGCCCCAGCATAAAAGAACCCTCCTAACCAAATCTTCTTTCACATGCCAGGCTTCTTTCATGAAAGGTCCCAGCTGGGCCAACTGGGGTATGAATGAGGCCCGGGCTGCTAATAGAAATCCTGGTTGGGATGCGAAAGAAATCTTGGCTGTCCTGGCCTGAAAAGACCTGCAAAAGAAGGTCCCAGTTGGTACTGCAGTGATGTAAGATGTAGGGGTAAGGATTGGGTGGTTGGGGGAGATAGCAGGTAGCCAAAAGGGGAGAGATTGGAGAGAAGATAGGGAAATAAGGGGCATTCAGGAAAAGACAGAGGAGGCAGCCCCTTATCTTACCAAAGCATGGAGAGGAGAAGACATAGTTGGGAATGGCTTGGATCAGGGTGGGTCCTCACCTAATGACCCGTGAAATTCAGTTAATGACAGCAATTGGAATTTCCAGGCATGCCAGTGCTAAGCAATGTAGTCATGTGATGTTACACATCATGACTGCATCCCTTAACAATAGAAATCCTGGTCACATTGTTAAGCACAGACTACCTGTGTGGTCATTGCTAAATTAATATTCCTGAATATTAATATTCAGGAAGCATGATTGATTATAAAAATACTGTGATTTGTAGTCCATCAACACCATAATTTCCTATTTAGATATGTACATACAACACACAACAGGGCTTGTAAGATTGATATAAAAAAAATCTCCACTCCATTTGTCAGGACCGCTACTATTGAAAGAAATATTCTCAATTTCCTTGGGACCATCTTACTAACTTGTGAAGTTTGCTGGTAAATATTTTTTAGTAACCTTCTTCTAAACTGCAACTTTTCAAATATTCTAGGGGTATTAGTTGACAATGCTCACTGGGATTTCTAAGATGTGTACAGTTCTGTCCCTGGACTCTGAAATGGCAAGAGACTTTTATTGCTTTGTACAACTGAGACAATGCACAAATATATTCAGACAGAGTCCAACAAAATGATTTATCATAATATTTATAGATATTTAAGAATTATATAGTATTATACTAGATATTGAAAAAAAATTCCATCTGTTATCCCTTCTTTACTCAGAGAACTTACATTATTGCTTTATGAAGATAGTTATCCAGGCAAGCAATCATTTAAAATACAGAAAATCAAAACTCATCTTTGGTAAGGAATATGCAAAAAGGGATTTACTGAACCCAGGTGACAACATAGGTTACCAGAATCTGCTGCTGAGGATTTGAAGCTACACTCCTATATACAGAGCAGTGTTCCTAAATTCAAGAGTCAACTTCTGAATAAAGATAATTTCCTGGATTGTTCTAAAAACTAAAATTGTGAAGCAATCCTGATTTTGAAGAAGGGTGATTCAACAAAAATGTTTCTCCTTAAACCAAGTTCAGGAAAAGCACAGCTTTTAGAAGACGTTAATAGGTACCTACAATACACACCCACTCACATGCTCCAGTTCCACCAAATTCCCTCACATGTGTGAGAAGAAAGATGACAGTAAAGAACTTCTATCTTCTATAGAGGAAGACTTTGAAATTCATTCAACACAGAATTGCTTCCCCTTTGTAATTATTTTAGAAAATTTTACTTGCTGTCCATTTTTAAATGATGCCTTTCTCTACAATATTTCCAATATTTGTTTTCATGCAAGATATGGATTCTAATATATAAATACCAAAATAAAAATGTTTACCCTGTACCTAATAATCAACACAAGAGATGCTACATAATAGTTGTAAAATGAGACAAATATTCAACAGCAGAATGTGCCTCTCTAGTTGAGAGGTCTTAGGTTCAAAGAGGTGGGAGGTGAACTGTGCAGTTCTTGCTCACCGTGTGGTTGACTCCCCACATAAGGACACTCAGGAGTGGTTCAGAGGCTCGGAAGAGTTTCACTTTCTGGCAGACAAAATGCTTCTTCTTTGTCTTGGTCTTGGAAGCACTGAGGGCAGCACCTATAGCTGAGCCAGTGCTTGCAGCTGCTGTGCCTCCAGTACAGTTTGAAGCCATGGCAGAGAGAGAGGGGGTCTTTGGGGTTGCTTGAACAGATATTGGCCTCTTCCTAAAAGCAGGGTTTTTTCATGCCTCTCCTTGGGCCCCTCCAACCTGGGCAGTCATGTCAAAATGTTCTCCAAGAAAAGGCCCAGACTTCTGCTTCTTCAGCTCTCAAGCCACTCTTCCCTCCTCACTCTTTGAAGATCAGCTCAAAATGGCACCACCGGGTATATAGGCTGGTTAGACTTGACACCTCCTTGCAAGGTACCACTAGGACCGGCCTCTCATTGATGCCACCTTCCTAAACTTGGAGCGGTGCTTCTTCTTGCCTTTTTCCGACCTTCAGATTACAGTGGGCCGTTAAAGGCACCGCTTCTATTCTTCTCCGCTCAACCGCGGTTGAATATCATTCGAATCGGCGGCACTTTAGTTCTCCCTGTAAATTCCCCAAAATGGTACCATCCAGCCCTCCCTTTTAAACCTAGACCAGTCCCAGCGCAATTAAGTCAGCCGTATTCCTCCCCCCCCACCCAATTTTGAAAAAAGCGTTCACAACGGTACAATCTTCGCTCCGCCCGTCGTTCTTGTTCTTTTCTCTCCGCCTAATTCAGCGGAATAGATCGGAGATACACACAGGTGCACATACACGCGCACCAATCACAACAGTACCACCTACAGGCACACACCCTTCCTCTCATTACAAGCAAGAGTTCCGTTCAGAGAACCGGGCACCACACCATAACTCCCCTTCCACATCATAGTTAGGTCCAAGCCCCACCCCCTGTCACTTATCAAATAGTAATGTCTACTTCCCTCCGCAAGTGAGCCTAACCTTAACCCCCCTTTATAACAAAGTTCGATTAGTTTCACCCGCTATGAATATATCGCCCCACCCCACCTCCCCCCTCATGCTTCCCTTTCCGTGGTTTGTTCCACCGCAGAACAAGTTGTGCCATCGACTCCTGCGCAAAGGAGGCATCAAGATGGCGACGAATAAAAAGAGGGGGGAGTGGAATGTTCCATTTCTATTTGAAAAATTGAAAGGCAAGAGTATGGTAGTAATAGTTCATTTAAAAAGAGTCAATAAATTAGGTAGTGGCAAAGCAATGTGGTTTGGATTAATTTTTTAAAAATAACGCGCAGGTAGCATATCCACTAACTTTTCCTTTAATTGTTTTTCTTGAAAAGATAGTTTGTTCCGAAGAGAGTATTGTAGCAAATAGATTGGTATTTCTCCGTTTTACGGACCAAATAACCAATCAACAATGGAGCACTAGAGTTATGAATGAGAAATTATGACTATGTAACACGAACGTTCTATTTTAGAGACAGCGCCACCTCTGGTAGGAGTAGCCACTGCTATAAGAATAAGTGAAAAAATTATTCGGTTTTCTGCAGAACATCCAGCTAGTAGTTTAATTGCTGGTCGCTTTCTTCCGTTTTTTTGCCGGCTTTAAAAAAAAACCAAAACTAATGAACATGTTGATTGGCTACACACATTTATGGTCTTTTATTTTTGATTAAAACATATGTCTCTGTTTTGATCTACTCTGACTTCTGAATTCTGATCCATATTAGTGGGGGGAGACCTGTCCCACAAACAATTAGAAGTAAGTTTCATTCCTCTCCCCAAAGTTTTGGGTAGGATCGTTTTTGATGATGCTGCTGCTGCTGCTGCTGCTGCTGCTGCTGCTGCTGCTACTATAAATTTTTATTCCACAAACATGAAACTCAAGTCAACAGAACATTCAAAAATGCATCACAAATACCGTAGACAGGCGCTGAGGTTAATACGGTTGCTGCCAGTGTTCTAGGAATCAACCAAGTATCTTCTTAAGATGTTTGGTGTTCTGAGTAGTGCAGTTTTTTGCAGGTCTGCTGATGTTATTTCAGGAAGCTGCAATTTCTTGATGTATTTTATAAAATTCTTGGGCATGGTACAAAATTTTGGCCATCATGCCCTGATGGTGAGTATCACTATTAAATGTTTCATCCATAATCGCTTAGTTTCAATGGCCAGGTTGCAATATTTCATGATTTTTTCCAGTTCTTTTTCTTTGACTCTGGTGTCTCCTGGTACAGCGATATCAATAAACTGTACACTTCAGCCTTCTACAACTGTGATATCTGGCGTGTTGTGTTCCACAAGTGTTCCACAAATTCTCCTCAGCCATCAAGGTGATTGTTTGATCTCCCCTAACCTTGCCAATGAGAAATTGGATGATTTGGAACAGGACCAAGGAGCAAAATTTTGCAGATGCAATAACAATAGAACCGTATTGATTCATAACAAGCCATGGACCACTGCTGGTCTGTGGCCAAGGGGTTGGGTACTCCTGCTCCAAACTTCTCTTAACTTGTTTCAGAACTCTAAGTTCCTCCATGAACCACAATGAAAGCAAATGGTCAAGGGGTTGCATAGGTGGAATCTTGTCTAGACTCTCAGTGGCCTTTTGATTCTAGGCTGTTAAGGCCTTAGTCTCCAGGGTTGGACTGCTCAAATGAGTCTGATTTTCCTGAGGAGGGTCGTGGTGTAAGAGAGTCTCAGGAATATTAGTGTGTGATCTGACTATGATGGGGGATACTTTTAGATTCCTCACCAAATCATGTTGACATTGCACCAATAAAATATTAGATCTGATGTGTGTGATCACTGTTCCAAATTGGACCTGTGACAATCTGGAATAGACCATAGCCATTATGGAGTCATGAACTCTTGAGCTGCTTCTGAAGCTTAACTCAAGAAGGCAGATTGAAGTCACTGAAAACCAAGTCTGGGGAATTCTGCTGCCAATCCAGAGATGGACTCAACAGATCAGGCAGGGAAGTTGCTATGCAGCAGGGAGCTCGGTACAATAGCAATAAGCTCAACTGATTCTGGCATCTATGACTAGTCACTATGGCCAATTGCCACAGCCAATTCACTACAGCCAACCTTCTGTGGCCAACTTGCCATGAGACAACTCACTTCAGGGAAAGAGTTTACACTAATATCAAAGAAATGGTGGAGTAGAATCATTAAAAGATGCAAAAAGAGGGACAAAATGAAATATGAATGACAAAAATTATTTTTATTTTAAATAATTGAATTGTTAAATTGTCTTGCAGCGAGTTGCCCTATGGCAAGATGTTTTATGGCGAGTTGGCCATGGTGAGTTGGCTACAGCAAGTTGACTGGTGAGTTGACCACAGTGAATTGATCATGGTGAGTTGTCCCATTCTGCTGCCATGAGTCTAGTATCAAAACAGTCTCACATCAGAAACTTGAGGAGCAAGGCCCTTGAAGAGCCTTCTAATGCTGAGAAGAATGTAAGGAAAGAGAAAAGGAAGCAACTGAAGATGAAATATGAAGTGATGAAGCTACTGAGACAGGTCCATAGGCATATGTCTGATAGGATATGGTGAAGACATAAATACAATGACCCAGGTTACACCACTGCTTGACAATCTGCACAGACTGTTCATTTGTTTCTGGTTGCAGTTCAAGATTTTTGACAAGCCCACTCTACTTGTATTGATAGAGGAGGCCTCCTGAGATCCTGTCGGTCAAGGAACTCCAACTGAAAGGATTCAGAAGAGCCTTCTCTGCTGTGGTGACATCCTGACACCACCACCCTATCTCCCCATTCTTCTACGAGGGCCTGAATTTGTGGTTTTGCTGTTTGGCTTGGAGACCCAGTAGAGGAGTTTGTCACTGGAGGTGATTGCTGGACTAAGCAACTGACTCCACTTCCCCACTGCACTAACTGCTGTTCCTCTGTTCATTTTTCTCATATTGTTCTATTTTCAGTGTTTATTTTTATGGATTCATTCCTTTACTATTGCATTTTTACATTTTTAAAATTGATTTTTCCATGTTATTGTTGTAAGCCACCCAGAGTAGCTCCACTGCAAGAGGGACAAATACATTTAATAAACAAATAAAGCCTGTGCCATTGTAATTAGAAAGATTGTATCTGCATAAAACTATCCAAATCTACAAGCGTCTAATGTCTAATCTCTAACAATCAGTCTGGCACCCATACATTTCTTGAGTGTTATTATGAGCAAACAAGATTATTCAGTTTCTTGTTATTTTTCGTGTCATCATTTTGGAGCAGTTATTTAAGATACTGTATGTACCATGCAATTCAGTAGAATCAGTTTCACGACTTGTCTCCTGAGGAAGTGCTATCTGATAGTAACACTTTTTTCATTAGATCCCTACCCAGTTTAGCTTTAAAAGTCACTAAGAATCCAATCATTCCACTTCTCATTCAGGCCACTATTTGGATCATCTTCATCTTTTTCCAGATTTACCTTAACTGACCTGTTGAATGATTTGTAATGAGACAAGGGAAGCATTTCTGTTATTACCGCTAGATTTCTTTGCAGATTTTGATGCCATTGAACATGTTAGACCATTTGAGGAAACTAGGGAAATGGAGACATTCCTAGATTGTTTCTGCTCCTTTTTTGGGGGGGGGACACAAATATTGTAATTTTTGCTTGACCACTTTGGAATGATCATGAATGGAGTGTCCACAAGGTTCCATCTTCTCATCCATGTTAATGTATGAATCCATTGTGAAGAATCATTTGTAATTTGGAGTTAAATTGACAGCAATACAGATCACCTTCATTTAAGCGCTGTCTTGTTTAATGACCATTCAAAGCTATAATGCTGAAAAAATAATTGTATGACCAGTTCTCACACTTACAACTGATGCAGCATTCCAGGGTCATGATTGCCATTTATGCACTTCACAGCTGGCTTCTCCCAAGCAGAATCAGTGGAGAAGCCAGCAGTAAAATTGTGAATTGTACATATGATGTGAATGTGATATGAAAAAGAAAGTACTCTCTCCTTGAGTCCTATGGTTTTATTATATCAGGATATAGCAAAAAAGATCTGTTCCTTAGCAATTCTTAGAAGACAGTACCGTAAATACAATGCAACAGCATTCCCCAAACTTTGCAACTTGATGGCCCGGCCTGGTGCCGGAGTGGGGGCTCATGTTAGTGAGAAGCACTCCATTTGAGTAAGTGGTGAGCAACTCATGCAAATGGAGTTTCGTGCATAAGTAGAGGGTGCTTGTGTTCATGCCTGAAGCTCCACTCACGATTGGGGGGCACTTGAGCAGAGGGTGCTTGCGCTTGTGCATGAAGTTCCACTCATGTGAATGGAAGGGACTTGTCCTTGTGTGTGAAGATCTACTTGCCCAAATGGAGAGCACTTGCGCTCATGCGGAAGGTCCGCATAAGGGGAGCTTTGCACCTGAGCGCAAGTCCCTGCTGCTCATGTGAATAGAACTTTGTGCCTGAGCACAAGTACCCTCCACTCAAACACCCTCCATTCATGCGAGTAGAGCTTCACATGTACACACATTTGCTCATCTTCTCCTGTGGCCGTTTTTAACAGGCTATAGCCCAGAGGTTGGGGACCCCTACAAAATAAGATGAACAATAACACATGACATATTATACCAGTGATGGCAAACCTTTTTGGCACTGAGTGCCCAAACTGGAACACGCGTGCATGCACCAGAAATCTGAAGACCAGCTGGCTGGCAGGCACATGCCTAGCCATTTGGGGGGCTGTTTTCAGGATGTTTTTGGACTGTTTAGTGGCTGTTTTTGGGGCTTGAAAATGACCTGGCTTTTGGCCATTTTCCAGACCATTTTCTGGCACTCAACCAAATGGCACCCGCAAAGAGCAGATGGCGACAGCATGCATGCTCAGAGCGGGTTCTGCGTGCCACCTAGGTTCGCCATCATAGTATTATACTATGTCATCATTTATTT